GAGTTAAACTTTCCCTAAGAGCACTTCTCAAAAGCTACAGAAGGCACCAGAAAAGAACCAGCTCAAATCTCAGCCACGACTGATATCCTTCCTCCTGTTTGCAGTTAAATCACACTTGTCACTTTGTGAGCTACAAGCCAGGAGTTTGCTGCCATGTCTTGAAATTAGACACAAACCAACGCAAACCTGCAGAGGGTTTTTAATCCAAACACGATTTTGGGATTTCCCTACTCTGCAAATGTAGACTCTTGGCTAAAAGAAGATATGAGATGTTGCCTCTTGACAGTTCTTCGCTGCTGCTTTGCTTAAATCGTGCCTGGAGGCGACTGCAGAGGTTTGCACAATCCAAGGGAAGGTTCTGGCAGAAGAGGCAGTGTTTGGCAGGGCCCATCAGTGCTGCACAGTCCTGCGTGTGCTCCTGTGGGTTATTTTTGCCTTTTAACCGCATCAGTTCTCCTGTCATGTCCTGGTTCTGCCATTGATCAGTGCTAAGCAGCAGGACGTGCTGGCTGGGCAGAAAGGCAGCGCTACCCGCTCATTAAGATATCTAATTACTGAGGGGAGAGGTAATGCTGTGCTTTGAGCACTGAGATGTTAGACAAATGCTTGGGGATGTCACTGCGATGGCAGTTCTTATGTAGATAAGTCACTTCTGGCTGTCACCCTGCTCTGTGGTGTGCTGGGATGGAGTTAATGGGCACACACCATCCCTAAACCTGCTCAGAGCTGTGCTTGCCTTGCACTCTGAATACATTGGTGCTTTGCTTCTGCTTAAATCTGTGCTTGAGGCTGGCTCTGGTGAGCCTGGACTGAGAGTTGTTTAGTTGGCAGAGTTGCTGTGGTGTGTTCTGTGTAGCAGGGCTTACCTGGCTGTGTTCCCTGATAACCTCCAGCTTTTATCAGAGCGCTCCCCATCAGCACAACCCAGGGTGGGTGACATGCCAGGAATGCTTATCAAGGGCCATTGTGCTCTTATCCAGCCCTTCAATAATACATGGCATTGATTTTTGCTGTGTTGAATACTATATAGTGTTTACATTCCCCAGAATAATTCAGCAGGGTAAACAGCTGAATTCTTTGGAGGTAAAGTCAATATTAACAACGTTCAGGAGAGCGCTCGCTGTCTCTCTTTGATGGAAAGCAACCTTTTCTCTTGCCTGTGCTTCCAAGGGGCTGTAATTCCTGCAGAGCAGTGCTCCCTCAGAATGCCAGTCAGATACTGTGGCCCCTGGGGCTGGTCTGGGGATCCAGGATATTGCCTATCAGCAGTTTTTGCAGGCAGTAAATTCTGCTGCTGCAAGTGCCTTTGGCTGTTTTCTGGGACTGTGGCCATTCACAGCTTCAGTTCAAAGGTGGAAGCCATCCATTATTTATCTAGTTGACCTTCTGGAGCAATTTGAGGTGTATTTGTGCAGAGGATCTGCTGGAATTGCATGTTGCAGGGTAAACTGAGGATGCTAATGGAAATTCTGTGGTGAAGGCTGCAAACAGCCCCTATGGCACACTGTTTCCCACAGGCTTGGTGGCAAGTGGAGGAGCATTGTGGACTCAGCCTCTGACATAACTGCACACCTCCAGGCTGCAGACATGGCAATGTGAGCACTGAAATCAGCCCATCCTCAGGCTTAGAGCTGTACCTGCAGCTTCAGAGGTTTTGTGCTGCTGCTGTTTTGTCCTGCATGTGCTGCTTTGAATAACAGCTGCCCAGGAAGTTGCTCCGTGGTGGTGCCCTTTGGAGCATGGAGTAGGAAGGTCCTTCATGCCTCCCTTGGGGGGATGTCACTGGTGCCATGGGGTATTGAAAACTTCCCCTTTTTGCCTTCCTGGAGAGGCTGAGATCTGTCAGAGTGCTTCTCTCATCCAGAGCCTCTCTCCCATGGTTTTTGGTGTTTTCTAGCACCTCATTAAACAAAGAAAAAACACACAGTATGAAACAGTTCCTGCTTAAATAGACCCTGACATCATCATAAATATGCAGGGCTCTGTATTGGTCCTGGAAAACCGGCAGGCCAGGAGTTGATGGAGCCTCTGGGCAGAATATGAATGCCTTGATTTTCTCTCCCCCTGAGCAGCACTGAAGAGGGCTGCTAGGACCAGCCAGCAGAGACCCAGCTATAATTGCTTGCCTGGAGCAGTAACATATTTCTGCACACCAGCTGAATACCAATGAGGACAGAAGGAAGGAAGGTATCAAACAGAACTGCAAGCAGGAGGAAAAGGAGGATAAGTGATTAAAGGAAGGACTTGGAGGCCAATAATGAAGACAATAGGCTAGTTCTGATTAGGGCATTTTACCAGGGAGTGATTTGGGTTTTTAATGAATTTTTTCAGGAGCTGAATGCATTGCAGAGCTGGTTGGTGAGAAGAGGGAAGAAGGGGCCAAGCAGTGTGACCCCAGGTGCCACTGAAAAGGCTGCTGCAAAGACAGAGGCAGGGAATGGGGAACTGAGCCCAGGATAACTTCATTGAAAGCAAGCACATCCTTTTGAGATTGGTGAGATTAGATTTCTCAATTGGGCCTTTTCCTTCCCAGTTCTCCTCTCTGTAATTGCTCACAAGAGCCTGTGCCACATGCTCTGGGATGACCCTGCTTGAGCAGACAGGTTGGAGCAGGTGACCCACTGTCCCTTCCAACCTGAGCCGTTTGGGATTTAGGTTTAAGCAGCAAGAACCTTTGAAATCCCCTTCCGCTGTAATTGCCAACTTAGGATAGGGTTTTGTTTGCCCCTTGTGTACTTGGAGATGAGAATCAGGGGGCAGAGTGACCCCTCCATGACCACAGAGCTTCAAAAGAGCTGCCCAGCAATGCTTCCCTGTTCTCCTGTCTGCTCCTGCAGGGGAGGGCTCAGGATGGTTCTGGCTGCACTGCCTTCTCTATGGCTGCTGCATCAAGGAATGGAATAAGACTCAGTTTATTTGAATTCTGTCCTTAAGGGGAAGAAAAAAAAATTAAATTTAAAAAATAAGAACCCAACTGAAAGCAGCATGATGTAACTTTCAAGCCTCAGGTGAGAGGAAGCACTGCAGCTTCACAGGATGTTTTGGAGCATTTTTTAGGTGCTTTGAAAGCACATACAACCCATGAACTGCCTCTGAATTATCCTTTAGGGTCTGGTAATGGGAACTAAACATGGAGATCTAATGAGCTAAAAATAATTCTGGAAAGAACAGGCTTAGTGTCTCATGAGTCACCGAATGTCAGCATCTGCCTTTTCTTCCTGAAATAATGTTGTGGAGGCTTTGGAGGAGCTGAGGAAGGGAGGAATGAAACCTGGCAGTGCAAAGCTCCAAAATCCTCACCTGTGTCCCTTTCTGTGGGCAGCTGCATGTTAAAAATAGCCTGGGAGAGGCTGTTTCCAGGCAGCAGCAGCGTTTGAGGTACCTGGGCATCTGTGAGCGCTGCTCCCGGGTGACGTCAGCGCTCTGCAGGGACCAGGAATGCGATGCTGGACCTGAGCCCTGGCCAGGCTGAGGATGTGGGGAGAGCTCAAAGGCTCCCAGCCTCGCCCCAAAGCAGGGAAGCTGCTCAGAGCTGGGAGCTGCAGCGATCCCATGCCCCTTTCCTGTGCAAAACGGGCTTTGCTGCATCAATGCCGTTCAGAGGTTTGCCTTAGGGGGGTGTTTTGAGAGGGGAAGGAGCGTGTGGGTTTGACCTATATCCTGCACATCATGTCCAGGAAGCCTGAAAGGCGTAATGGGAGGAATGTGCTCTCATTTTCACCTCCATTAATTTTATCGGATCGCTGCGTTACATCTAATCGTAATTGCTGGAAATACAGAGGGGAGGAGAGGGAAAACTGTCCTGTTGCTCCCTGGCTGATCAGCTGCAGGGATTCTGTTGTTTTAAAGCTACATAAATAGAAAAAGGTGCTGTCGTGTAGTGTGGCATTGGACTCGGGCTGAAAACATCTTTTTTGTACTGGAAATGTTATTTGCTTTGTTAGGGGGAATCGGTGAATGAGCAATTGCTGAGGCTGCACAGAAAGGAGAGATTCCTGCTAGCAGCCAGGTGCAAAATGTCTCTGCCTTCTGAAGCATCATAATGGGGTTTATTTGCATGATTTTTTGGAGCCAGCTTTCCAAAAGCAAACACAAATACCAAACTCTCTGTTTGGTTTTCCCCAGCCAGCTGATGTAGGGAATTGTAGCCAAATTGAGAGCAATGTAACCTTTTCAGGGGGGAGTGGGAAACAACATTGGAATAAACCTATCCCCAGCTGAGCAGATGGCGGGCCCACAGTCTGCTGTTTCTGAAGAGGAGCTCTATATGTGTATTTAAAACTCCATATAGAGCCTACTTTAGGATTTGTACATCTTAATGCACTGCTACCTTTTCCCTTGCCACCAGAAGCTCTGAAATGGCTGGGGGTAATTCCTGTACTGCCCATGCTCTTCAGGCTTTTAGTGCATTAATTCACAGTTGTTGGTTAATACAAACTCAAATATTTTCTCACCAAACCCTCCTAACTGAGCTCTGCGTCAGTGCTGTGTCCTTTGTACGAGCCCACGTCCTTTGCAAAATGTGGCCCTCAGCTTCCACCTGCTGTTCAGAGCCAGAACGGCAGCTCTGCCATGAATCCAGGAAAATAAAAATCATGGAATATCCTGAGCTAGAACCCACAAGGATCCTCGAGTCCAGCTCCTGGCCCTGCATAGCACCATCCCCAAGAATCCCACCATGTGCCTCGGGGTGTTCCCCAAATGCTTCCTGAATTCTGGCAGGCTTGGGACTGTGACCATTTCCCTGGGAGCCTGTTCCAAATATTAATGTAAATTTCAATCCCAATGCTGAAAGTTTAATGAGATGAAAGTGGAATTTGAATAACAATATAAAGCAGGTCCTGCTGAGGCTGTTGGTTTGGCTCAGATTAGTATTTGGTGTATTTTCCCAAAACTTGGATAGAAGAGATGATTTCCACTACTGAAATGAGGCAGTTTGTAGCTGTTTTAAGGAATGTGCTCTCAGTTCTACAGAAGTGTGTTGTTCTTCTCTTTTCCAGCTAAAAACCACAGTGACACCCAAGTGTTCTTCTACCTGTGGATTATCTTCTGTTTCATCAGCTCTTGCTATACCCTCATTTGGGACCTGAAGATGGACTGGGGTCTCTTTGACAAAAATGCTGGTGAAAATACCTTTCTCCGAGAAGGAATTGTCTACCCACAGAAAGTGCGTATGCCACCTGCTCTTACCTTAGCACAGGCTTGTAACATTTTAACCAAACTTGCTGAGTTTAGAGCATGTTGCAGTTGCCCACTGAAGCATTTCAGTGCTACAGGCTGGGATTTTCCAGCAGCGGAGCTGATTTGTTTCCAAGAGATCATTTCTTTTTGTTTTGCTTGAGTTTGAGCAGCAGATTCTGTAGCTTCCTGAAGACCTGATGAGGTCTTTTGGATGCAGAAGGTGTTTGTTGAGCTGCTTTGTTCTTGTTGCTCCTCAGGCATACTACTATTGTGCCATTGTAGAAGACGTCATCCTGCGTTTTGCGTGGACCATCCAGATCTCCCTCACTTCCATGCAAATCTTTCCCTATGCTGCAGACATCATTTCTACTGTATTTGCCCCACTTGAGGTGTTCCGGTAAGGCTGCTGGGCTGAGCAGCTCATTTCTCTTGTTTTTATTTTCACTTTTTTGTTCTGTAACGTCAGCATGGGGGGGAAGCACCTGGATCCTTGAACGTGGAGTATACTGGTTTTTATTTCAAGGAGACCAGCATTAACAGGAATATTTAATCCAAATGGGGTGCTGAGTGAAGAAAAGGGTAGAGGGCTCTGCCACAGTGTAGAGCTGAATCCTTCACACTGTGTTTGCAGTTCCTCCTAAACCATGACATAATTTTGAGGGGTTAATTTTTACCAAATTTCTCCTTGAAATTTCCAGTTGAAACTTTGCTTGATTCTCAAGTTTCCAATTTTCAAACCTCTTTGTATTCTGTGTCATCGATTTGGATCCTGCAAGCTTCCAGGACTTTTAAACATCTTTTACTGTAGCTGGAAACCCACCCCTACAGCTTCTTGGGAAGAACTTGAAGCTGACCCTCACTCATGTAGATGCTGGAGGTGGCCTTTGGCTTGTAATGCTTGGTTACCTCCATGCTGTCCATACTAGGATAAGGAATTAGCCTGACAGGTTCTGTTGTTCTCCAGAGGAAAGATGTTGTTGTTAGCCACTGGATGTTTCTCCAGTGCTTTGCCAAATGCAGTAAATACCTGTAAAAGGGGAACTCAGTTGGTAATTCTCCTTTTTCTCTCCATCTGTCCATCCATCTGTCCATCCATCTGTCCATCCATCTGTCCATCCATCTGTCCGTCCATCTGTCCGTCCATCCATCCGTCCATCCATCCATCATCCATCCATCCATCCATCATCCATCCATCCATCATCCATCATCCATCCATCCATCATCCATCATCCATCCATCCATCCATCCATGGATTCCATCCATACATCCATCCATCATCCATACATCCATCCATCATCCATACATGGATTCCATCCATCCATCCATCCATCCATCCATCCATGGATTCCATCCATACATCCATCCATCATCCATCCATCCATCCATCATCCATCCATGGATTCCATCCATCCATCCATCCATCCATCCATCCATCCATCCATCCATCCATCATCCATCCATCCGTGCAGGCGGTTCGTGTGGAACTTCTTCCGTCTGGAGAACGAGCACCTGAACAACTGCGGCGAGTTCCGTGCCGTGAGGGACATCTCGGTGGCGCCGCTCAACGCCGACGACCTGACGCTCCTGGACCAGATGATGGACCAGGAGGACGGCGTCCGGAACCGCCGCAAGAACAAGCAGTGGAAGCGCAGCCTGAGCGTGTCCCTGCGCAGGCCTCGCCTCGCCTCACAGTACGTTGGGCCTCTGCACTGACACAAAACCCTGCCCTGCAGCTGTTGTTAAAGCCTGCTGGGCGGTTACAGACCGGGAGTCATGGACTTGTTTGGAACACAAGCCCTGTGAGGAGTGTTTGAGGGAGTTGGGGTTGTTTAGCCTGGAGAAGAGGAGGCTTAGAGGTGACCTTATTGCTCTCTACAGCTCCTGAAGGGAGGTTTCAGACAGGTGGGGTTGGTCTCTTCCACTGGGCAGCACTGGCAGAACAAGAGGACACAGTCTCAAGCTACGTCAGGGAAGGTTGATATTAGGAAAAAATATCAGGTTGGATATTAGGAAAAAATTTTTCACCAAAATAATAATAAAGTACTGGAATTGTCTTCCCAGGGAGGTGGTGGAATCACCATCTCAAGATGTGTTCAAAAAAAGACTGGGCATGGCACTTGGTGCTATAGTCTGGTTGAGGTGTTAGGGCATAGGTTGGACTTTATGATCTTAGAGGTCTCTTCCAACCTCACTATTCTGTGATTCTGTGCCTGGTAGTCCTGGAGTGGGAATCGTGCAAAGGTTTCAAAATGGCACAAAAATTTTCAAAGCCGTCAAAGGGAGGGCAGCTCCAATTAGTTAGACGAGCGTGCCTCTCTCTGCCAGGGAATTAATCCATCCTTTATGCATTTAGGGTTCTGGTAAACCATCAGGAAAGGGAGTTCCCTTTTTACAAGGCCCCTCCCTTGCAGAAATAGTCTGCCAGAGGTTATAAATGCAAACTGGAGGAGAAGTTCTCCCCAACCAGACATTTCTGAAAAAGAGGGAGAGGGACTCTGTATGCCTCATAGTGACAGAAGGGACAATGGTTTTAAACTGACAGAGGGCAGGGGCAGATTAGATATTAAGAAGAAATTCTTCTCTGTGAGAATGGTAAGGCCTGGCACAGGTTGCCCAGAGAAGCTGTGGATGCCCCATCCCTGAAAATGTTCAAGGCCAGGCTGGATTTGGCCCTCAGCAATATGGTCTATGGATGTCACTCACGTCCCTGCCTCTGGCAGGAAGGCTGGAACCAGATGATCTTTAAGGTCCCTTCCAATCCAAACCATTCCATGACTCTGTATGATTCCAGTTATTCTTTGGTTAAGGTTCATATGTAAGATCTCAGACTCCTTCCTCTCTCAAATCCCAACCCATACATTTTTTCCTTCCCACCCATCATTTTTGCACCCCAAATGTTTCCCCAGCCTGCACCCCAGCCCCTGAATGTGTCCACTGTGTGTTTTCCCTGCAGTGTTGCTCCAGTGTCCCTCCTGCCCTGGCAGCACAGCTGTGCAGCCCTGCCCTTTGGCTGGGGAACAAGCCCAGGCTCCTCAGGGATGCTGAGGCACAGCAGGTCAGGAGTGTTGTGCAATCCCTGCAGCACTGCCTGGGAGGAGGAGGAGGAGGAGAAGGGTGTGCTCCGGCCTCAGGGCTGTGCTTGGCTCTCATCCCTGCACGGATGGGACCAATACCAACAGCCTTAGAGACTGAAAAATATTATGCAAAGGGAATGTGAGCCAAAGCCTGGTGGAATTCCCTCCAGCCATGCCCATTGATCCCTCAGACATGCAGTGAGTGGAGATGTGCCAGGCATATCCCTGGAGATGCCTGGGAGATGGAGCAGGAACACTCCTCTGGATCCTGCAAGGGTTTGGTGGAGTTCTGTGGGGAGGGCTGGGCAGGTGCCCACATCCAGCAGTGCCGTGTCCCAGCCATGGCACAGCCTGGCAGGTGACACTGGCCATGGGCAGAGCGTGCCCAGCATGGTGTGGAGTGGGCAGTGCCACAGGAGGAGGCTGCTGAGGGACAGCTGGGGCATCTTTACAAGGCTCTGCTATTCCCAGGGTGAGTGGGAGGGTGTGAAACAATGCAACAGTAGATTGTTTATTTCCCCTCTGTGTAAGAAAGACATCGTTTTCCCTTTTTTTATTCCCCCAAGTGCACTGTGGGTTTGCTGTCTGCACGTCATTCCAGGAATTCCTTCTCCCCAGTGAGTGTTTTGTGTTTTGTTTTTTTCCAGGTCCAAGGCTTCTGACACAAAGGTATTGATAGAGGACCTAGCAAACGAAGTGAACACATGAGATGGCCACATTCTCTTATTCCACATCTTTTGTTTTCTCATTCTGTTTCCCTCCTCCCCAAGTAACCCGAGCTCTGGTACAGATCCAGCTGAAAACAGGAGAAAACACTGAACACGTTTTCTGAGCTCTTCCAGACCAGATCCTATGGACTCCAACAAGCTCACTGTGTTTCATTTCTTTTCTTCTGGGTTAATTTTAATGTTCTATTTTAAACAAACAAACAAACAAAAATAAAATATTTTACTTTGTTTTGCCAATAAAGAGGACAGTTCAGGAAAGAAGGATTGTTTACAGTCTCAACAAGGACATAAACCTTATCTGGATAACGAAGCATCATAGGGACTCCCTCACGGGACAGTGCCAAGAGCACACTCAGTTTCTGCTTGGCCCGGTTTTGACTGGTTGAAACCGGACTTTTTAAATCTGATTTTTGTTGTTGGTTTTGTTTTTTTTTTCCAGTTGTTTGGTTTTATCCTTCATATCCAGCGCTGAGGCACTGGCTGCACTTGCAGGGAAAGTGCACTTAGAGCAGTATCTTCATTCATGAAGCTACTTTTTAATTTGATGTAACTTTTCTTATAATTTTTTGGAAATATGATGTATCGGTTGCGTATAGTTTTCACATTATTTATGAAACTTAACGACCATATGAGAGTGATTTTGAGTCCTGTGCAATGAAGGTTGTAACGGTAAAACAAAGTGGGGAATGTAGATCTGCATCTCCAGGGTTGTGGGGTGATGCCCCTGCAAATGCCCCTTTAGTGAGACAACTTGCACCTGTGTGTACCTTCTCTCTCTTTTATTTCTTTTCAATTTTATTTTAAACCAAAGTTTCTCTTTGTGATATTTTTTTTTAGTTGCTGCTACTGCTTCTGGGCATGTCTCTCGTGCCAGTTCAAAGCCAACTTCTCCATGTGTGCAAGTGGTGCAGATGATCCTAAGGAAAGGAGAGTTGGTTCCCACCAACAGCACAAAACACTGGGTGAACCAAGGCTTTGGAACTTCATTCTCCAGATCAAAAAGTACTTTTCCAAGCCTTAGGTGTGTCATGAGGGCATCTCAGTCCGAGCAGGGAGCTTTTCAGGAGTTCTCCAGCAGCCCAGCAAAGAGGGACAAGGCAAGGAGGTGACAGTTCTCATGGGACAGAGGGGGTTCATCAGGCTGGGGCTTAGCAGTGGTGGTGTGTTTCAGGGAGCATGGAAAGAACTGGTGTGTGCCCACCTGATGGGGCAGGTGAGATGGAAAACAGCTCTTCTGTGGCTTCTGGTGTAGCAAAAAGCCTCTGTTGGGCACCGTCCTGGTCATCTGCCCCTTGACTCATCTCATTCTCCAAGTTTGGGAAGTGGGATACTTGAGCAGTTAATGGACAGCTGGGCAAATCATGCTGGAAGAGAAATGTTAATTCAATGATCTCGTTGGTCTCCCCTCCTCCTGGGAGGGAGCCATGGAGGCCTCAGAGTCCTGTCATCCTTCCCTTGGCATGCTTTGTTCTCCCTGGGTCTGCAGGGGGAGGTTGAAACTCCTGAAGGAGGATCCTCAGCTGGCTGGTGACAGTTTGGGCAGTGGAATGGCAGGAATCTCTCCTCAGTGGCTGTTTGGTGGTTGTTTCCCTTAATCAGCACCATGTTCCCCACAGGTAGTATGTTGCATTTCCTCGGTTTGCCTGCTGTGCCTCTTGCCCAGAGGAACTGAAGAAGAAAACTTGGTTCACTTCATTTAGTTGGAAATAGATTAAACCCCTTAAAATAGATTAAAACCCTGTTGTGGTGCTGCTCCTCTCATCTCCCTCCACGTGGGGCTGCTCTGGTGGGAGCAGAGCTGGCTGAGCTGGGGCTGTGCTGTCCATCTCCCCTGGACTCCCTTTACCTCCCTTAGGCCAGCTCATACTTAAAACAGAGCCTTGCCATTCCCATGGAAGTGCAGTCTGGGATAAAGCCCCTTGCAATATTTCAGGTTCCTAATTTGCATTGGTGCCATGTCCAAACCATGTGTAGGTACTTCCAGCAGTGGGGAATGGAGCCATCCCTGCCTGGGGAGCTTAGGGGAGAGCAGTTGCACTGGGAGGGAGGCAATCCAAAATTATCTGGATTCATTTAAATGACGTAGCACCACTGGGTGTTACTTTAAGCAAGTGGGGGTTTTTAATACAAAGAATCTGAGCTTTCAGAAGGAAATTAAAAATACAGAGAGACACAGTACAGTAAGCAATTTGACCTAGTGGAGGGTGTCCCTGCCCTTGGCAGGGGGTTGGAAATATATAGTCCTTAAGGTCACTTCCAACCCAGACCATCCCATGGTTCTGTGATTTGGAAGTGCCCTGGGAGCACTCTGCCTTCCTCAGCTGGGCTGGGGAGGGCAGGGCACGGCTGGGTGGCCTGTGTCCATCTGTCCATCCCACTGCTGCACCCCCCACCCTCTGCTTCCCAACGGGATGGGGTGGGTCAGGTTGCAAGTGATTAAATTCTTATTCTGTAGTTTACCCAAATCCTTGTGGGAAGCAAGAATTCAGTGTGTCCATCTGCTCTGCTCCTTGCTCTGCTCTTTCTCTTCCCTTTTTCTGTCTTTGCTGGCAGGAGAAGTAAGGAAAACAAAAAGGGAGGTGGCGTGCTATGACCAGCAAACACTATCTCCTAAAATAAAGCATGGTCCCTTTTGGCAGTGGAGATACTGTCTCAGGGGAAAGCAGCCTGAATTCCCAGAAGTGTGGCTTTTCGAAGCTCCTAGCTCCCAGCCCTGCATCTGCCTCTTCCCTCCCTCCCAGAGATTTCTGAGAAGTCAGGCGTGCAGATTCCTCCTGAGAGCGAGCACTAAAGCTGGGATGGCTCCACGTCTACGAGAACATCTGGCCAATAAAGGGAGACCTAATGAAGCAGAGCAGATGGTGAGAGAAAATAGCCCTGTCCCTCCTTGGGAGCAGCAGGGGCCAGGGCAGTGGGGACATTCCCAGGGTGGCAGCATCTCCTGAGCTGGGCTTTGCTCATGGGTGCTTGAGAACACTCCTGGAGGGACAGCAGCAGGGTGGTAGAGCAGAAGGACAGAGCAGCATCAAAAGGAGCTGGGGATGAGGGGTTTATCCACTGCTTTTATTGTTGGGATGCAGCTGGATGGGAGGTGGAAGCTGGGGAAGGTCTTTAAGCCGTGGATTTCAGGTGTTGGGCTGTGCCTCGTGATTCAGTGGAGGTTGGATTGTACAGCTCTGAGGGTGGTGTGGAGCTGCTTTGGTCTGGTGAAATCCATCAGGTGCAGTCTAAGGAGAGGAGATGCCACCCTGTGGCATTTGTGACTTTTGGAGGTTCCCTTTGAACTTGCTTCTCCCTGCTGATTCCCTCCTGCTTTCCATCCTGCTGCTCCCCTGGGCGTTTTGTGGTTGCAGGGTGAGGTGTTGCAGCATGCAGAGTTTATTTGCTGGCTGGGGTTCCCTGTGTGGCTTTGGGATGGTGTCACCAGAAACTCCAGGTCCCTGTGCTTGGGCAGGGCAATGCCACGTGCCATGGGTGTGTTCCTGACAGGACAGCAGGGCAGGATTGGGATCTTTGGACTCTGCAAGCGGGAGTGGGGGCTCTCCAATGAGAACCCGTGCTGTCCCATCACATTTTAAAAGAAATACATTTGCAGCAGTCCTGGCTGCAGCCTGTATGTATCCAGGAAGCTCCTACCTCTCTCATCCAGGTGCATTCCCAAAGTCAGCTGGTGTTCAGCCTACACCTTTCCCAACCCTGCTCCTGCCCCTCCTCATTCTCTCTGTGTCTTTGCTGTTTGATCCCAATGAAAGAAACTGGCAGCAGCCTTCAGCATGAACACCTTGGAATGGCAGAGATCTCTGGTGGAAATCTCAGCAGAGTTGGATCCTGCTGCTCCCATTTCCCTAAAAACTCTTGTGCTGCTCGTTGTGCCTCTGTACTGGTGCTCAGCTGCAGCGCCAGTGTGGCAGGCAGGGAGGGAAAACCCGTTCCTGGTTCAGGAGAAAACAATCCCTGGGGATTTTATTTCCAGCCAGCAGTGGGGACAGCGTGAAGCCTTTGCTGTGTTTGAACGGCCGAGTGGGTTTGGCCTTGTCCTGCAGGATGCTGCCCTGCTCTGCTCGCTGGGCTTCAGGGGCTGTGTCCCAGCGCCAGGCCACGTGCTGGGAAGTGTCCTGGGGCTGGGACATGGCTTGGCAAGCTGGGGACACAAACTCCACTTTGCTCACATGCTGCATCCCGGCTCCATGTCCTCCGTCCTCTCCTCCGCCCTTCTGCTTTGCACTTGCAGAGGGAAGGTGATTTCTGCCTTAATGTTTTTTTTTTTTAAATTAACATTTTTATTCCAGAAGGCAATCTGATTGTTTTGTCTCCTTGGAAAAGAGGGGCTGAGGCTCTTGGGGGAAGAGTGGGAAATCCCTACGGTACCTCTGCAGCAGTCACGGCTGGGCTCAGTGGCTGTCACCTCATCAAACCTTGCCTCCTTTACATGACCCCAATCCCAAACTCTGCACCTTGGGGCGAGTGTCCCCTCCTGCCACCNGAAACTTTGCTTGATTCTCAAGTTTCCAATTTTCAAACCTCTTTGTATTCTGTGTCATCGATTTGGATCCTGCAAGCTTCCAGGACTTTTAAACACTTTTTACTGTAGCTGGAAACCCACCCCTACAGCTTCTTGGGAAGAACCTGAAGCTGACCCTCACTCATGTAGATGCTGGAGGTGGCCTTTGGCTTGTAATGCTTGGTTACCTCCATGCTGTCCATATTAGGATAAGGAATTAGCCTGACAGGTTCTGTTGTTCTCCAGAGGAAAGATGTTGTTGTTAGCCACTGGATGCTTCTCCAGTGCTTTGCCAAATGCAGTAAATACCTGTAAAAGGGGAACTCAGTTGGTAATTCTCCTTTTTCTCTCCATCCGTCCATCCATCCGTCCATCCATCCATCATCCATCATCCATCCATTCATCCATCCATGGATTCCATCCATACATCCATCCATCATCCATCCATCATCCATACATCCATCCATCATCCATACATCCATCCATCATCCATCCATGGATTCCATCCATCCATCCATCCATGGATTCCATCCATCCATCCATCCATCCATCCATCCATCCATCCATCCATCATCCATCCATCCGTGCAGGCGGTTCGTGTGGAACTTCTTCCGTCTGGAGAACGAGCACCTGAACAACTGCGGCGAGTTCCGTGCCGTGAGGGACATCTCGGTGGCGCCGCTCAACGCCGACGACCTGACGCTCCTGGACCAGATGATGGACCAGGAGGACGGCGTCCGGAACCGCCGCAAGAACAAGC